GTTCTGTCCCATGTGCGTTATCACAGCTCATTGGACCTTGTCTATTTTGTATTATTGCTTCCGCAGCCCCTTATTATTTGCTAACCTGTTCAAAGGCCTTTGGTAATCCACGGGTTACTGGCCGGTTACGGTGCTAAACCTACAGGGGTGGGTTTTGGGTCGTGACGGCAACACCAATGGAAACTGTTCTATTTGCATTTTGTGCATGAAAATCTATGCTCCATATAAAGAAATGGATCTTGTTTGTCTCATCTCATACAAGAACTGGACAATAATCTTTGTCTCTTTACAACTTTTAACTAACCAATTTGTTAAAAAGAATGTTGAAAGCCAAAAAGGAGCAAAAAAAAAAAATTTTGTAGAATATGGTTTTTAGCAAGCTTAATAAGACAACAAATTTGGGAGTTGGAAATCACAAACCATAGAGGCATCATAATCAGTCAGCATCATTAAAGTTCTTTCAGCATCATCTACTGTAAATAAGTCAACTTTTATATCAACTGGCCTCCTTTAACAATTAACATCTTTTATACTCTCTCCATCTCACCATCTTTTGTGAATGTCATTATCTATGGCTAACATAATTGCAGCCTCATTTAATAATTAATAGCTTTTATACTCTCTCCATGTCACCATCTTTTGTGAATGTCATTATCTGTGGCTAATAATTAACAGCTTTGTGATTGGCACTTTTCAATGATTCATATCCTACAGGATAGATGTTTTAGCCTTCTTGGAATCTCATGAGTGAAATTGCAGATATCATGAATTGACAACTGAACATTCTCCAACTAATTTCAACCTGGTTGGTCTAAATGAACAGATCCCCTCCATCACCTTTCTCTTGAAGAAGACTATATTGGTTATGGGTACCTCTAGATGGTCCCAAAACAAATGAAACTGATTGTGATTCTTGAATTGAATAAAATGCGAGTTGTTATATAACTGTAATACCAATTCGAAAGTATGATTACATTGATAAGATCAATTGAAAAAACAAAAAATTCTCAAGCTTCTGATTCTTGAATGAGTGGTCTAGAAACTTAATGAACTGCTACCTTCTATCATATTGACTAAAAACCTAAAGTAATCTCCCAAGAGTTGTAAGTCAACTTCTCTTGTTTTGGAATAATAGCTTCACTAAAATTCATTGGATTCCCTTACAACTAGCATATTAAAAAAAATAGCAAACTTGAGAAACGGACCTCAGTTAACATAAATAATTTGTGTTACTTCTGTTAGCTTTATAGTTTTCTATTTCATTTTCAGAAATGGATGACCCTTCGCGTATTCCACCACTGGCTCAAAGAGACGACATCGTGCATTAACAAATCCTGCTTGTGCCCGAGGTCGAGGTCGAGGTCAGGGTTGGGATAGAGGTCGGGGTGATGATATTGTGTTGGAGGAATCACCTCAAATCTTGGAAGAGGATGTGATTGATAATGGTTTAGGGGATGATGATGATGCTGCTGATGTTGATCAGGTTGAGGAGGTACTAACTGGTCCATTTCCTGGGGGGCCATCAAATCCATCAGTACTGAAGAGCTTCAAGGCACATATTGCAGCAGCTATATGGGATCAGAAGGTAGTATATATTTTTTACCATGTTTCATTCATTTAATTATTTATTCAACCACATTATTTATGTTAATTACAAATTACCTTGTAGGAGAGGAATCCCTTAAGGTGTTATAATCATGCGTCCAAGATTCTTGAGTGGCGGTGGTGGTCAAGAACCGACAATAGAAGGTTTAGAGACATTGTGCAGTAGTCAGGCCTATCTTCTTTAGTCCATTGCACATATCGGTTCGTGAATAGGATTGTCATTTTTGCATTTGTTGAGCGATGGCAACCAGAGACAAATACTTTCCATTTGACAGTTGGTGAGATGACAATGACATTGGATGATGTGGGTACCATCTTGGGGATCCCTATCACAGGTAGATCAGTTAGTGCTGCAACTTCGACAGATCAACAGGCACATGCACTTGTGGTAGCTGCATTGGGAGTTGATGATGCTGAAGCAATTGAGGAGCTATCATCTGCTAGGGGAAAATCAATAAAGCTGGAGTGGTTACGGAGAAAATTCAGTGGTTGCAAAGATTTAGACACCGAAGAGTCCACAGTTTGTGCCACCAGAGCGTATTTGCTATTTCTATTGGGATGTACACTGTTCAGCGATTCTCCAACTAATTTAAACCTGGTTGGTCTAAATGAACAGATCCCCTCCATCACCTTTCTCTTGAAGAAGACTATATTGGTTATGGGTACCTCTAGATGGTCCCAAAACAAATGAAACTGATTATGATTCTTGAATTGAATAAAATGCGAGTTGTTATATAACTGTAATACCAATTCGAAAGTATGATTACATTGATAAGATCAATTGAATAAACAAAAAATTCTCAAGCTTCTGATTCTTGAATGAGTGGTCCAGAAACTTAATGAACTGCTACCTTCTATCATATTGACTAAAAACCTAAAGTAATCTCACAGGAGTTGTAAGCCAACTTCTCTTGTTTTGGAATAATAGCTTCACTAAAATTCATTGGATTCCCTTACAACTAGCATATTAAAAAAAGTAGCAAACTTGAGAAACGGACCTCAGTTAACATAAATAATTTGTGTTACTTCTGTTAACTTTATAGTTTTCTATTTCATTTTCAAAAATGGATGACCCTTCGCGTATTCCACCACTGGCTCAAAGAGACGACATCGTGCATTAACAAATCCTGCTTGTGCCCGAGGTCGAGGTCGAGGTCAGGGTTGGGATAGAGGTCGGGGTGATGATATTGTTTTGGAGGAATCACCTCAAATCTTGGAAGAGGATGTGATTGATAATGGTTTAGGGGATGATGATGCTGCTGCTGATGTTGATCAGGTTGAGGAGGTACTAACTGGTCCGTTTCCTGGGGGGCCATCAAATCCATCAGTACTGAAGAGCTTCAAGGCACATATTGCAGCAGCTATATGGGATCAGAAGGTAGTATATATTTTTTACCATGTTTTATTCATTTAATTATTTATTCAACCACATTATTTATGTTAATTACAAATTACCTTGTAGGAGAGGAATCCCTTAAGGTGTTATAATCATGCGTCCAAGATTCTTGAGTGGCGGTGGTGGTCAAGAACCGACAATAGAAGGTTTAGAGACATTGTGCAGTAGTCAGGCCTATCTTCTTTAGTCCATTGCACATATCGGTTCGTGAATAGGATTGTCATTTTTGCATTTGTTGAGCGATGGCAACCAGAGACAAATACTTTCCATTTGACAGTTGGTGAGATGACAATGACATTGGATGATGTGGGTACCATCTTGGGGATCCCTATCACAGGTAGATCAGTTAGTGCTGCAACTTTGACAGATCAACAGGCACATGCACTTGTGGTAGCTGCATTGGGAGTTGATGATGCTGAAGCAACTGAGGAGCTATCATCTGCTAGGGGAAAATCAATAAAGCTGGAGTGGTTACGGAGAAAATTCAGTGGTTGCAAAGATTTAGACACTGAAGAGTCCACAGTTTGTGCCGCCAAAGCGTATTTGCTATTTCTATTGGGATGTACACTGTTCAGCGACAAGAGTGGGACAAGAGTTCCTGTTGTGTACTTGCAGTTGTTGATGGATGTGATTGATAGTCATACATATGCTTGGGGTGCAGCTGCATTGGCATATTTATACAAACAGTTGGGATTTGCCACGAGATCAGCTGTTCGACGGATGGCTGGTTACATGACATTGTTGGAGGCATGGATTTATGAGCATTTTCGGCCATTTAGACCTCACCAAAACATGGAATATACTATACAATTGCCTCATCGTCGGGAAGCTGGTTCAACGGTATCACACTTACAGGCGTTACGGGAGGAGCTTGACAGATTGGCATTTGATGAGGTATAACAATTAATATTAGTTCAATTAAGTGTTCTCATTCCCTGTCACTCATCAAGACTTCATTTGTGTTTCTCTCTTAGGTTACTTGGGATCCATATCGAGATTGCCGTCAACATCACCTATGTCATGAGATCACATTCTACAGCGGCTGTTTGAAGTGTTTGGATGTAGTTGAACCTTATCATCCCGAAAGGGTTCTTAGACAGTTTGATAGGGTCCAGACCATCCCACCTGCGCCACTCGACCCTGTTCGTGCTATTAGAGGTGTCACAGCAAGCTGATATAGAGTGATGTATCAGTATCTTGATCAGATATGGAAAAGTTAGGATAATCATGTTTTATCTGCTCGGAGGAGGAGTATCCCATTCAGACGTTTGGCTGACTGTGTTGATGGTTACATGCAGTGGTATACAAACATCACACACTTATATATCCAGAACCCCACACATCGGTCTAGTTTTGACCCACTTGCACATGATATTCGATCTGATGTGCAGGACACTGAGGTATGACAATATTACGCACACATCATTTATTTTTATTTTTTTTTAGGATGGCATGTGCTAATTACAATTGTATTTGTTCTTAATGCAGCGTATTGATCATGCACTACGGATTGCACATCCTATCATTGAGGCGTGCCATGATGCTAGTGTTCGTGAGCCAGACAGGTTATATGAGGCCATTGAAAGGATGTCACGTGTTCTTCAGGGTCAACAAATTGATGAGGCCGGACCTATTTCTATTCCATTTCGAACATACAATCGTAGGAGACGAGTATATGATAGGTAGTTGGTTTTGTGATAATCTTGTTTTGTTATTTTGTAATGGAAAAGAAGTACTCTTTTGATGTTTTTGTTGTTTTGTAATGAACAAAAATTACTCTACTAATATTTTGTAACGAACAAGTATTCATGGTTTGTATTTTTGGTAATCAACGGGAAGTATTGTGCCAATGCATTTGATACACCGCAATGAACAAGTACTACCATGTGCATTATATTAACTCAAAGCTTAATCCAACTCAACTATTTAAATGCTAATCCACAAAAATGTATCGGTTACTATTTAAATTGCATCACTACAACTCAACTCACATACATCATTACTCATCAAGGTTAACACAATCAAATATCTCTCTAGTAGCTGCCCTTGAATGAACAACTTCTTTAAAATGCTCAATTCGGCGATTATATGCAGTATCCCATCCAGCTGCACAAGAATGATGAAACTTGCACCAATTGGTAGCTATTGGTGGAACTGGATGACATGAACTCCTACATTGACACAGCTATAAGTATGAGAGCGATGCAGTGCAAAATGATAAATGTATTACACAAATCATAATGCTATACCTGGACAAAATGATTCCCATTAACAAACCCAATAGCAATCTCACGCCATTGAAGTTGTGATATTGGCACTGATCGTAGGGGGAGGAAAGTAAGGCATTGTTGTGCAGATAAGTGGTAAAATACCACATTATAACAAGATGCAATAAGATGACCCATGTCAGGCATAGTCATCCAACGGTGATACCCTGGATTGGGCTCAAAGTATGATAGAATATGGGTCAGCTCTTCAATCCTGTCGTGTGAACCATATAGATGAGTGTAATGGTCTACGTGTGTGTGCAATTCCTGTAGGAAATCACGCCTGACTTGACCCCATTCAGCCTCTGTAAGCCCTATCAAGCCAGCAATGGCCCTAACCTCAATTGCCATCGGCATCTACATCCTTGATAAGACGTATGTAAGGCTTCAATCCAACTGGAAGGGCATCAACATATGAATAAGTCGTACTTGTACGCGTCCGATATACCTATTCAACAGGGAAGACATCAACACATGAACAACAAAACACGTAATTTATCATAAACAAAAATGTAAGTAAAAAATGATTACATGTACCTACTCTTTTGCAAGCCGTTTTTTATGTACTTTGACAGAATCTTGTGTGGGGATCTGGGTGCCCATAGGTGAGTGGCTATCATGTCCAGACTGAACTAGCTCAAATGTACATGGGTCTCAATGCGTAGATACATCTATCTTCTTATGTCCCTTACCTCGAGGGTTGGGCTTCACATCCGGCTCAATGAGAAAACTACTTTGCGGATCTACAATCTCTCCTAACTTATGCAGAATTTCCAACTGTGTAGTGTAATCAGATGCATTAAATCGCTTAAGTATGAGATCAAACTTTGGTTCACACCTCAATTCCACTTTATCATTCTTCAACTTTTGTACTACCTCAAGAGTCCTCCAGTGTGGGTTAATGCTATCAAGTGGTATTGAACGACCCTGCCGGATGTAATCCGCAATCTCATGGGCACACGGTAACCCATGTGTTCATCGAACAACACATCCACATACTGAAGCATCAATGCCAACATCATTCGCTCGCTTACTCTCCACTAAGACATGATCTAATGCAGTAATAGAGATATTGCCTCGGAGCTCTCTAAAATGGGATGGTTTGAACTGGTGTTGTAGAATGGTTAAACTCTTCTCAAACGATGCCTTAATATTAACATGCTGCAACTCAAGCAAACTGTGGATCTTGGTCCAAGAACACTCAAAATTTACTTGGTTAGAACCAAGTTGCCGTTTCAGTTTTGCATGTGCAGTTTCAGCCCTGTGTACAATGGAAACAAGTAGCATAATCAAGTTTAAATAATCAAAATCATAATCCGTAATAGTGTAAGGTAGTCAAATATATATTACCTATTGGTTGTAACATTCCCAAAGTGCATACAACTATCTGTCCATACGGCAACAAACTTATCCTTATATGGAACTAACCAACTATGTGACACATATTGCACTGCCTCAGGATATGTATCAAAATCCGCAAGTAGCCTAGCAAGATGTTCATTATATTCAAGCTCAGTTGAAGTACTAATAAATTCCATAAAGAGATAAACTTGTCCCATTCCTCCTTACTCTTAAACATTTTCTTGCATTTCGCCAGTACATTTCTACCAATATGCCATCGGCATAATAAATGTCGAGATGTAGAAAATACCCCGTCAATAGCATTCATCAAAGCAAGCTCCCAGTCCGTGACAATCACCTCAGGAATAACAATGTCATCCAAGAGACTACGCAATGTAGTTAACACCCAAACGTAGTTATCAATTTGCTCAAATTGGAGATATGCAAAGGCTACGGAGAATGACATATCAGTGGATGTCACTCCAACTATCTCAAGAAGAGGAAGACAATATCGATTTTTCTTATATGTGCAGTCCATGATCAACACCTTTGGAAATGAACGGAGCAAATCTATACTGACAGGATGTGCCCAAAACAAGTCTGTCACAATCATTGTGTTGTTGTCACACCTATGCCGCTCAATGTAATTATGTTTTTCTAACTCCACCCAACAAATGTTGCATTTGTGATCTCCCAGCTTTCTTAATAACATTATTCCTATGACGTACATTGTAAATGGTTTTCATAGTGGTTACATTCAAAGCATTCTTTCGTTTCAATGTAACCAAAATCTCTTTCGGTTTGACCAAGCTTTTGGACATATCCACTAATAATGATGTTTCCTCCTCAGATAATCTCCCTGCAAATGAATGTCCTTCAAAATGTTTAGCAGGAGCATGGTTATGCATTCCACATGCTACATCTACCATCCAATCATCATCAGCCATCAACTTATGAGCCCTTAACTCAAAGGGACACCCGCATTTCTTTGTACCTGTTATCTTCACAATTTTTTTTGCTCGAATCATCTCCTTCTAATTTCTTATGAGCTCTGTATTGAGCACTTCTCTCACAAGCACAAAATATCCTTGGTGTCCTATGACCACCACCATAGTCTGATGTCTTGATGACAATCACAAACCCATTTTTCCTTTCAACATCCCGTACCCAACCGAGTAATTCTTCATTGCTCTTGAAAACCTACAAGTCAAATTCAACAAAGTCATTAAACATCCGAAAAGAAAAAGAAAAAGAAAAAAATACTAATTTTCGACATGAGACTACCTCATTAGTAATAAATTGACTCGTGTAGTCAACAAGATCCCCAGATCCAACATTACTGCATTCCACGGATGCACCGTTCTGAAATTTTTTTTTTTTTATAAATGTTCAGCAGTACACATTTTGTTCGACAGTAGTATATTGAACAAAGGCATTTTGTTCAACCGTAGTATGTTGAACAAATGCATTTTGTTCGGCTGTAGTGTGTTGAACAAATGCATTTTGTTCGGGTTTTTTTGGTCGAACATTTGTACGATGTTCGATTGTAGTTGGTCGAACAAATATAAATTGTCCAGTTGTAATAAGTCGAGCGATGATATAATATCCACCTCTGGTTAACCGAACTGTACCAACTATTTACCACTCAGCAAGTAGACGAAAACGAAAACGAAAACAAAAACAACAAAAAAAATAACCTCTTCTTTGCTCCATTGTTGCGAATCAAAGTTGCCGGATGCATCCTTAATTGAATCCATTCAAAATCTTCAATAATACTATATTTTTCATTATTTGTTGAAGAGTTTTTGGTTTTGGTTTTAGGGTTTTTGTATTCTTGACAAAGAAGATACGTAAGGAACAAGTTTGAAATTAATGATTTATATTATATTCATTCTTGTCCTTTATGGTAAATACACAAATGGTGTGTATCATAACTTGTCCTCTATAGTCATTTCACTTAAGGTTAAAATTATAAAAAAAAAAAAAAAAATTAATTAATGGTTTGCCTTGAGAGAAAAGGTGGTGTGTAAATAGAGCCACCCTGGTTACACAAAATGGTCTCTCGGACCCATACCAAATTAGCCCTAGGCTTAACAAGAATTACAACAAAAGAAAGAGTAATCTACTCTTCACCAAAACATATCCACACCCTTAGCTCGGCGGGATCACAACATCTTTACCTACACCAAAACCCATAGGGGTGAGCATAAGCCCAGTAGAGGAACCTTAACAAAGTATATACATTTATGCAAGATTCTTAACATTTAATGTAAATGCAAATGTTATGCCATGCCATTTCAAAATAATCTCATGTCATGCTTTTCTTGATAATCACCAAGTTTTTCAATGAACATTTTCCAATCTCATCAATTTCCCAACCACAAGTTTTAAATCATAAGGGGCGGTAAATATGACACTGGTAATCCCTAGGCTGGTGTCTGCAAGTAGACTCTACAAGTACTACCAAACTGTCATTTTTACCAGTATTAATCGGAAGGCTCGAAACCTATCTGAGCGGTTTTCTGGTCTTTCACTATGGACACTCAGGCCAACTTATCAAATCATTTACACCCCCTATCCGGACTTACCACCGTATTTAACCCATAAACGTTTCCATTAGTTCTTATTACAACATAATTCTTCTCAAAATAAACATAATGAGAATGTGCAATAATGATAATAAATCCCATGAGAATGCGGTGCAAAAATGAATACCCCACAACATTTCTCCATTTCAAACATCTCTACAAAAATGTCAACATTCACATTTTTCATTTCTTCTTTTAAAAGTTCCTTCACAAGATAGTCATGTGTCATCAACACATGACTACAATTCCACATTTTACAAGCCTCAACAATCTAGTCTCTTCAAGACCACATATGGCGTTTTCAAACATTACCTTAAATGTTAAAATTCTCAAGTCCCTAGTGCACAAAACTTACCGTTTTACAACCATGCGTCCTCATATAATTTGCAATAGTTTTCAACACACATTCTTCATTTCTAATACAAATCATTTTGGTCATCATTTTGTAAAAACAATATCATGAAATCAACACATAACCATTCCCATATCACAAGAAGAATAGACCCACTATAGACATTTCCATATATTTCAAAATACCCCAAATTTCTAGGGTTTGTCACAAAACCCAAACATTAATCTTTTCTTTCACAAAATCTCCTCATACTCTTCAATCTCAACCCATTTTGCCCAAAACTTCAAGGAAAACTTAGAAAAATACACAAGATAGAGTTTTATTCCATAAAATCATTAACTTCTTGAACCCTAAACCCATTTTCGAAATGGCCAAGAGGATTTTACAAAATCAACCCAAAAATTACATAAATATATATATAACTCAAAGGAAACCCTACCTCAAGCTTGTTGATGGAAGATGAGATGAAACCCTAACTTTGAAGATGAGAGGGAGCTTGATTTCCACCACCCAAGTGAAGCCCCAACTTTGGATCTTCAAGATCTTGAGAGAGATGATGATGATCTTGGCCCAAGATTAGCAAAATCAAAGAGTTTTAGATGTTTCAGGTGTTTTCTAGAGAGAATGAGGAGGAAAGTAGGTTTTTGAGAGTGTCTAAAATGTCTAAAATGAGAGTTGCAATCGGACCAAAAAGAGCAAAAAACTAGAGTTTCGGACTGCCTAGTTGGCCGCTCGTGCGGCTTACCCCACCGCTCGAGCGGCCCACCTTGACTGCTCGTGTGGCCCATTTTCTTCACTTGTGCGCTCTTAGACAGAATCGAATTTTCTGGGTGTCAAGCTTCACCGCTCGAGCGCCCCTTCCCACCGCTCGAGCGCCCTTTCTCCACACGTGCGGCTTTGGGCCCCGCACGTGCGGCCCTAGCCTAGCAGCCCTAGTTCAACTTCGCTCCAGGGCACCCCGGATTCACCCGCGCACCCTCAGGAACGATCGAAATTCAACACCAAAAGAAATAAGAATTTGGAAACCATTTCCGGACATTTCAATCGAACGAAAATAAAAAGAGAACGAAGTGAAGAAAGAAAGAAGAAAAGGGAAAAAGAAGGCCGGTCGTCACATTTGTACAAAATGAATCTGAACTACATATTAATATTTCTCGATAATATTTTAAGGGAACATTATGAAAATATGTCATGAGATTGCTATAACTCATTGTAATATTTCAGGGTTTAAATGAATTTGTCTAAAGTGAACATCCAAATTTTAAATTGAATTATGCTAGAGACTCCAAATAATTTATCAATTTTTTTATTAAATCTCTCAAATGGGTGTGGGACCCACACACATATGGGCTTGTGTGAGTCCCATACCCATGTGAGAAGTTTTGTAAAAAAATTGATAAATTATTTGGGGTGTGTAGCATTTTCTTATATGCACTTACCCTTTTATCAAAAGGCAATAAATGACATACCAGTAAATGGCCATAAGAGAATCTAAAGTTGGTAATACAGCTAAGATTGTGGTAATCACATTTTTAAGAGTTATGCTAGATACCTCAAATAATTTACTAAATTTTCTACCAAATCTCTCACATAGTTGTGAGACTCACACACATATGGGCTTGTGTGGGTCCCATACCCATGTGCGAAGTTTGGTAAAAAACTTGATAGATTATTTAAGGTCTGCAGCATTTTCCTATATGCACTTACCTTTTTGTCAAAAGGAAACAAATGACTTGCCAGTAAACGGCTATAAGAGAATCTAAAGTTGGTAATACAACTAAGATTGTGGTAATCACATTTTTAAAGGTGGGTCTTTTCTTTTCTTTTCTTTTTATTTATTTATTATTATTTTGGGGGCTATACGAACACTTCCTTGGGTGCTAAGTAAGATGTGTATTACTACCTTTGTCTTGATTTTAGTGAGTTATTATTATTATTATTATTATTATTATTATTTTGGAAAATGATATAGACCCCAAATAATCTATCAAATTTTCTACCATACTTCTCATGTGGGTATGGGATCCACACAAGCCCATACGTGTGGGTCTCACACACATGTGAGAGATTTGATAGAAAATTTGACAAATTATTTGGGGTCTCTAATATAACTCGTGCATATAATGCTTAATTTAATTTGCAAAATGCCACATACCAAAATATTAGTGTCACACACTTTTTCTAAATACATATTTAAAAAAAATTATATACTTCAATGAGAGAAAAGTCTATGATATCAACATTTAGGTACTTGACATTAGAAGTATCCTTAAAAAAAATAATAATAATTTGGGGAGAGTAGACTTCTGGTTACCAACTTTACCTTAACTTTACCCTTTTTTTGAAACCTCACCCTTGCAACTCTGGTAGCCTCCCACCCGTACCTACGTATAAGTGATGTGGATAAAATGTAAACTTTATTACAGGGTAAAATTAGGAAAACATTATGGCACACCATTTTAAAAGGTGTATATCATATATTTCTTATAATTAAAGAAAAAAAATAACACAATTTTATACTTTTTAAGTCATAATTATATAAAAAAAAAAAAGTATCATAACTAAATACAATATGAGACATAATTAAAGATTTTATGAGTCATAACTAAAATAATGTCATAACTAAAGGAAAAAAAATTAATCATAATTATAAAAAAATGATATAATTAAAATACATATGATAGATATAGCGATCTCGGTTTTCCCTTCCTTATTTACTGTATTCCGAACTCGGTTCCATTGATAGTGTGGTTGTCTGTATTTCATTTCTGTCCTCTAATGCTTTGGATTGGAGTTTAGAAATGTCTTGGGCGTGTTTCAATCAGGTTGGTTGAGCTTTAGTCCCATTCCTTGTTGCCCAGATTTTTGGTGGTCCGCTTGAGCGGATTCATTCGCGCTCGAGCGGAGTTTGCACACCTTCAGTAGTTTGTCCGTCTGCAAAAGTACTGCAAATGTGTTTTCCACGCTCGAGCAGATTTCCTTACGCTCGAGCGGGTACCCTTGCGCT